GGCCAAACAGACGCTCAATCGTGTCCTCCTGAAAAAACGCGGCCAGAACCGCCTCCAGTCCGCCGTGGGATCCCTCTCCGACGCCACCTCCACCGGCGCAGGCGGCCTGTCGATCCGCGGCCTCAAGCAGCAAAAGAAGCGCGTGGTCGAGGACAACAAGCCCTACGACCCCTTTGGCGGGCTCAGGCTCGACATGGAGAGGTACAAGATGGGGCCGTCGGAGGAGTACCGCAACCAGTGGGTCGACGAGGCGAGGAAAAAGGACGATATCGTGGTCGGCGGGTACAGCGCCGACGAGTACCTCGGTCGGGCCATGTTCGAAGCCTTTTCCGGGTTGGCTGTGTTTATTGAGGATGAAAAGGGGCCTGAAAAGGTGGCTACTGCCGAGGCGGCTCTGGTCGCGAGTCCGGGCCAGACGACACAGAAGATGGATGTGGACGACGTCTTTTGAAGAATACGAAGACAGCTTCTGCACTTTTCTTCTGTCATTTGACCTCTTATTCTACTTGCTTTGGAATGGATCGGAATGCATAGCGATGGCGTTTGGGGTTCATTGGGGCACTACATGCAAAAACAGGATAAATATCTGAGAAACAGACGGGTTAAAGGGGCAATAAATACCCAAAATCGGTAGCAAAGCAAGTTGTGTGGCCACGGGAAAGTGTGTACCTGTATGCAAGAATTACATCTAAGTTATGGCTCACTAAATAATACATCTTTTCAGACTCGTACTGCGACGGTTGCCGGCCTCCGCCGGTCCCACCATCCCAACTTTGGAGCTTTTAGTTTTCGTGTGATAACCCTGTTGCCCGTCTACCTTAAGCATCGTTCGATTGTACAAAGCAGAAAAAAAGACCCTTGTGAACGCCACGCTTTGATTTGAGATTTGAAGAAATAGTGACCCCGGGGTTGGACTGGGCTGGTGTATTTGGGAACAGTTGGTCAGAGCTTTTGGGAGAGCACTGCTATTATGTCTGCCAGGGGCTTTGCTGGATGGGTCGGGGGAAGACGGGCGTCGTCTCGAGATTATCCAGTCCGCCACCCATTGGCTGTTGATTATGTTGCCAGCCCATGCCGGTCTGATGGTTGACAAAGGAGCCCTGGCGGAAGGGGTTTGTGGTGCCTGTTGGTTGAGGCATGATGGCTCCAGAGCTGGTTGCAGGCCGCTGCTGCTGGAGTTGAGAGCCGGTGAAGTTCTTAGCGAATGGGTTGGTACCAGTCATCATCGGCTGCAACGGAGCAATCGTGGGAAGTTGCTGTGTTTGTTGCTGAGGTTGAGGCTGAGTCTGGAATGGTGAATTACTAGAAGCCGGTGAGAATGGCTGCTGGGCTTGAGGTGAGGATCTGGCAAAGGGGTTTGTAGACTGCCTCTGCATGTTGGGGCTCGCCGGGGTCGAAAATGCCGTGTTCGTAGACATGCCCGTTTGCTGGGCCATCAACATAGATGCCCGGAAAGGATTGGTGATTTGCTGGCCGGCCTGAGGGCTTAACATGCCTGCGTTGCCTGTCGGGAAGCTTGCCACAGAGTCTTGCGGTATTGAACCAAGTGTGCCTGGCTGATACGGCTGAGGCGAGAAGCCTCCGAACCCAGCTCCGGTGAAGCTGGGCTGTAATGGCTGAGCCGCTGGCTGCTGCTGTGGTTGCTGGGGCGGCTGCTGTTGCTGCTGAGGCTGGCCGAACGGATTTGTGCTCTGCGGCTGGTACGGGTTAGAAGCGAAGCCTGTCTGTTGCGGCACAAATCCTGTCGGCTGAGGCGCAAAGCCATTCTGCTGGAATCCAGTGGGTTGCGGTTGGAAGGGACTGTTGTTGGCGAAACCGGTCTGCATCGGCATTTGCTGCTGTTGCTGGTGCTGTTGTGCGTTCGGCGCCATCGTCGTCTGGTTCTGTTCGATAGACTCGAAGAAGTCGATAAGATCGGGAGCAGGACCCTTGGCGGTCTCGGTCTTCGGCTGCGACAGGCCATTCGTGCTCGGGAACGTGCTGCTCGGGAAAGGATTGTTTGCCGCAGGCTTTGAGTCGAATGCGCTAGTCGGCTTTGAGGCTCCTCCCACCTTGTTCTTCTTGCCCTGCTGCTCAGCAATGTATTGTCTCCGGTTGACTTCGAAATCCGGGTCGCTCAAGTACTCCTCCAGCTGGCGGCCCAAGTTAACCGGCGCATGCTTCAACTTAGGAACCTCGACCCTTGTTTGGTGCTCGTATTGGCGTGCGACGCTGAGGTATTGCACTACGAAATCGGTCTGCTTGGTGAAGGTGCGGTAGATTGCCATGGCTCTTTCGGCATCGACCTTGGACATTTCAAAGAAGGTGCCTTTTCATGTTAGTTACAAGGACATGCTACGGCGTATGGGTCGCCTTACCGAGAATGTTAATCATTCCCTGGTTTAATGCCTGGAAGAGAGCCAGCACATCGAGCACCAGCAGTCTGAAGACGGTGACTGTAATTTCGTTTTCGATTTCGCCTTCAAGAACCTGTGTGGCGTCAGCAACTGTCGCGCTTGGAGACGCTTCGCAAAACCGAGTCGGGGACTAACATCGCATTTCAAAAGGGCCGAAATCTGACTCTGAAGAATCTCCGTCTCTCGCAGGAGGCCCTTGTCGACCGAGAGCTTCTCCAGTCTAGATTCCTTCGTCCGCACCCAATCGCACTTGGTTTCTCGGTAGGCTTTGGATCTCGCGGCGAGGTAGCCGGCGTAATGCCGAATGTTCCGTCCTTGTGTCTGGGCTGTAGGGTAGTTTAGAAAATAAGTCCAACAAACCTCGGCCAGTACTTGATTTTTGCAGGAATGACTAACCGTCGGTGAAGCTGCTGATAGCAAGCGTGTTCGGGTGCCTCGACAGATAGGCAAGTGTGACATCGGGCGAGCCTTCACGGATCATCAGGTGGACGGTGATCAAGCTCTTGAAGACGACGGTCCATGTTGAGTCTCGTAGACGGAACTGCAGGGCGCGGAAGACCTCCCCCACGCCCGCTTCGCCGGCATGTGTCGCAACGAGAATGTGTTCGATATATTTCGTCTTGGGCGGCGCGGCCTAGGAGATGGGATTAGCACTATGACTGGGAGAGACGCGCTGAGCTGCCCGACGTGGGCTCCAGCATCCCTTTGACCTACCTTTATCTTGGTGGCCCCTTTGACGGATTTTTCGAATGAGCTCGACATTTTGTCGCTCGGTTAAACAGTTCAATCAAGTCGAAATTCTGTGATAATCAGGGTCGACAAGGTTGGCGACAGAGAGGAGGGTAGTCGTGGTTGGCGGATCGGATGAAAGTCACGCGAAAGTGGAAAGCGGCGATGGAAGAGTCCGGCCGTCACGGGCCTCGATCAAATGTCCTTGATAGAGCTGACCCCTTCAGTGGGTATTCCAACGAGCAGAGACCACGAGCTCGACAAAGGGTGATATTGGGTCGCTGGCGACAGCGAGGAGGATTGCGTGGGTGCGTCGGTGGTGACGGGGGCGCGACGACGTTTGGTTGCAGCCCAGGGAAACCCTCAACTGGGCGAAATTGGGTCCCAGCAAGCTTCAATGCGAGAGGGATAGTTCGGATCCGGAGTATGGACCTATGGCCATGACAAGGTGTTGGAGGGCCTGCGGATGGGGAAGCGGATTAAGGATACAGGATTGGATATCGTTTATCGTAATGTAGGCCTGATTTGGCTTCGTTGGGTAGGCCGGGAAATGAAGGACGCAGCGTCAGTATTGACGATGGCCACGTTGGTCGGGAAGTGGTGGGATAGATGGATGGGGTGGACCGCGAAGGAGGACGGGCCACGGTCTTGATTTGGAGAGGTCGGCTGGTCGGGCTTGGGCTGGGCTGAGCCTACGTAAGGTTGCTGGACAGTGGTCACTGGTGTCGTGGTAGTGGAGGTGGGCGGGAGGATGGAGAGACGGGGGGAGAGAGAGAAGAGGTGCCGCCGCTGGCTGTGCTGGCCGTGCTGCTGGCTCAACGTGCGCTTGTTCGGGTGTGAGTGGCCGGCGTTGTCTCTAGCGAGTTCCGTTTGACAGCCCGCGATGCTGATGAAGTTGTGCTGGGACACCTTCAGTTCTTGGGTACCTTAGTTCTGCTGGTCCAACGGGAAGCCACCTCAAGTGCAGGTGAAGGGTACGTACCTTCGGTTAGGCCGGTGATACCTCTTGGTTAATACCTTACTTTAGGAATCCTGGAACCTTGCGTTCGTACTGAAGCACGGATTGAAGTACGATGCTGCTGGCAACTCGGCAAACGTCCCCGTGGCAGCTTCTAGGTAGTTCCAACTCGCAACAATGAAATGTATAACTTGTACGTATCAAAGTGAGGTGGCCTTGGCGTTGATGGGTGCGATTGGGACTGCGACATGACCGCTAAAGAGATTCTCCAAGGGCAGATTCCATTCTCCCTAGGCAGTCTCCTGCATATCACTCAATCGATTCCATCACTCTTGCAGACGCCAGACAGCAGAAAGCGAGTTGATTCAGTTTAGCGCCTCTTTTGGCGTGTGTGAGGTGGATCGCAGAACGGGATCCCGAACACCATCTGCCTTGGCCCTTACCTAGGGGCCAAGCCATCTCACCCTTAAACCCTCCACCGGCGTCGAGGCTATGCAGCTGTAAGCCTGTGACTTATAGAAATGTGTGACCTGTGAGATGCATGCTGCCATTGTCCCGTCTTTCCCCCTTGATGCTCCATGCTTCGTGACACGGACGAACACTGGCAGTCCCAATGAGCCGGGATCTTCCAACGACCTGTAGGCTGTGGGTGTGTGTGGGGAACAGAGTCGGAGCCTGGTGAAGCAAGCATCGTTGTATTCTGCCATTGCTGATGATGGATCTGGTCTGATGAGGGCTTCACTGATCCGATCTTCTTGATAGCTTCATCAGTAAGCCTACCTTCAGCTGTGTACCTCAGTACGTTTCTATCCAACGGTTTATACTGAACGCTCTTGATTCAATCTTCACCCCTCGTGCTCGGCGTAACTTCAAAGCTTTGAACGGCACCATGAGTTATTGAAACACTTTGGGGAAACATGGGGTTCGCTGAATCATCAAACGGAGACATCCATCTCCTTCACATGTACGGAGTAGAGCGTAGCGGCACGATGGTCAGTTCTCGGACCCTTTATTTTCTTCTCTCGCCCGTCATCGGGGTCTTGATTGATTCATTCCAGTCTGGGAATGGCTGGCGAGCCGCTCAGGGCGCCATCCCCGTCAGTGTGTATGCACTGACGAGGTCAAAAAAAGTCTACCATACAAAAAGATGTCCAAGATTTGGTGTATCCCATCCGCCACCGACGGCGGCCAGTCGCGATTCAACTTCGTCCATTCTCATACCGCGCCTGCAAAGCCCCGAAAGCTTCACCGACGCGGGAGACCCATCCGATGTTTCTCGCTCCCAACCGACCGCAAAATCTCTGGCTGTAGCCGTGTCAGGAAGAACGTATCGACGTATCCGACCACGAGCTGCGCCATCACAATGGGAGAATATTGTTCGCGCCAAGGCAGAGAAACCCCCTAGGCCTCACTCGAAGCCTCGAGGCTCCCGGTTGTCGTCGAACAAACAAAAAGACGCCACGCCCACAAAATTCTTCCATTTCGTGAAAAATCAGATTTGCCTTTCATCGCGTCCGATACTAGTAACAAGGTCGTGTCGAACGCCTATGTCATGGCCCCCTCCGCCCTCGACACCTTTGCCCTGAAGCCACCAGAAGGGGAGAGCTTGGATGCTTCAGACGGAGGCAGCAGCATCATGTTATCCACGTGGCTATCATCACCTGCAAAATATCCAATTAGCATTCTCGTCGTTTTTTTTTTCGAGTATGCGCAGTTGCGCTGAGAGAGAGATTGGGGAGACCAAACATACACTTTTTTGAAATGGAGAAATCATAAAGAGGAAAGGAAGGAAATTTTTAGGAGCTCTCTGAAAGATTTTTATACGGACGCGAGGATCTGCCCCGCGCTAATCACTTTTTTGGTGGGGACCTTCTGCCTGAGGTGCCAGCAAGCGCCGGCTGGGGGATCTGAGGAAGGCGCCATGCTGCAGCAACCCACCTGTGTCGCATTGGATGGGTGGGCTCCGACATCGTTCCACCGTCTTGTTGCAGTGAGCTAGGGACTTTAAGCTGTGATAGCTTCAAATGTCACAAAATCATACCTGATCTCAACCCACTCATCATTCCTTCTGATCACGCCATTGTGCCCTGCCGGAGCTCCAATTTGATCGCCACACCTTCCACATTTTACCCCAAGCTTTTGCGCGGTCGCTTGTCTTCAATCAGCCCTGCTAGACCTTCCCGATGCTTCGCCAATGCTGTCGCAGTAGAGCGTTGGCTGCGCTGCGTCCGCGCACATCACAATCGCAACCCCTTAGCCGAAGTCTCTCTCTTCTTCAAAACTCAATATGTAGTCAGACAAGTCTTCCTGGCCGTCAGGCTCGTCACCTGTCAACGGCGAAACCTCAGCAGGCGCAAGACGAGTCAAAACACACACAGCTGTCAGAGGAGTTCAAGGAGTGCTGTGAGCAAGTTCAAGAATACCAGTGTAACTCCTGAAGCTTCTGCTAACTTTCGAAAACAACAGTCGCACTCCCTCAAATGTCGTCGCCCGATACATGGAGTAAACCAGGCTCCTCGATCATCGTCAGCGGACACATCGGCCGAACGAGAAAGGTCGGCAAGAACCTGGCATTCGCCCACCTGGAGCGCAACGGAGAACGAATTGGTCAAATCTGCGCCAAGGGCGACAATGCGGCTACACTAGCAAAGATTCGCCCCTTCAGCGCCGTTTTGGCAAAGGGCGTAACGACAGACGCATCGAGCGCGACACGATTCGAAATTGACATGGATTCGATACAATACCTCAACCCATTTCCGAAGGACATCATCGTTGGTCCCGATACCGTTTTCCCGCCAGAGCAACGTCATCTCCAGCTGCGCTTCCACAAGGAGCTGAAGGAGAGGCTGCGGTTCCGTGCGCAGCTCAAGTCGTCCATGGGGCAGGCGATGGTGGACAGGGAGTTCATGGACGTCGAGACGCCCATCCTCTTCAAGTCGACTTCAGAAGGCGCAAGAGAGTTCATTGTGCCGACGCGGCGACCCAGATACGCCTATGCGCTACCACAGAGCCCCCAGCAGTACAAACAGGTGCTTATGGCTTCTGGAATGGGGGGTTACTACCAATTTGCGCGGTGCTTCCGTGATGAAGATCATCGTGCAGACCGTCAACCCGAATTCACACAGGTGCGTGGCTCGTGCTGCTAATGAGTACAGGTAGCTAACATGATGACAGCTGGATATGGAAAAGTCCTTTGCTACGGGCAAGACCATCATGGAGGACGTAGAATATGTCGTCGGCCGTGCGTGGGATGCTGTGAGAGAGCAGTACGTCATGGAAGTGGGAGAAGACTCATTCGCGCCGGTCAGGAAGGCATCACTCGAGGTATGCGATCGCTTTCCATTCCTAATGCAGCAAAGTAGAGTTAAGAGCTGACAAAGAATAGGACTGGAAACAACGTGTTCGGGACAGTATGAAAGACGACGCCAAAGCACCTCTCTACCAAGAATACCCTGCCATTTCTGCGCCGTTCCTCAGAATGAAGTACACCGACTGCATGGACTTGTACGGATCCGACAAGCCGGATCTGCGCATTCCCAACAGGGTCAGTTGCGTCCCATAGACGCCTCTAAGCATCACAAGACTAACAGCGTCCAGATATGTCGCGTTGACGAAAGCCTCAACAAGGACTTTGTCAGCATGATCACAGATCTCGACGCACCAATCGTCGAAGTCTGGAAGATCAGCCCACACGAAGACGCTGATAGGCGAGACGTGTGGAAGTTTGTGACGGAGTTCATGGAGAATCTGCCCAAAAGCCTATCACAAAACCCAGACGGCGCTCCCACAGCCTTGATGTTCGACAGCAGCAAACCGCTCAACGGCTTCTCCGCCCTTGGACCCGAAGGCCTAGACAGCATTCTAGGCTCTCTCCCCGAGGAAGCCGGCTTTTCATCGCTCGAGAACGGAGACATCGTCCTCTTCCAGGCACGCAAGAACCAGCCCCAGCAAGGAGGCTCAACCAAACTCGGCGAAGCGAGAATCGCCCTATACCACGCTGCCGTGGAGGCCGGCCTCCTAGACAGGGACGACACCTTCAAGTTCCTCTGGGTGACCGACTTCCCCATGTTCACCCCGGAAGAAGAAGGCGACGTCGGTCAGGGCGGCACTTCGGGCTTCTCGGCCACCCACCACCCCTTCACGTCCCCGCACTCCGAGGAGGACTTTGAGCTGCTCTTCAAGGACCCGCTCCGGGCCAAGGCCGACCATTATGACCTCGTGCTCAACGGCGTGGAGCTCGGCGGCGGCAGCCGGCGTATCCACATTGCCGAGATCCAGGAGTTCATCTTCCGCGACATCCTCAAGATGAGCCAGGACAAGATTAAAGAGTTTTCGCACCTACTCAAGGCGCTAAGGGCGGGGTGTCCGCCGCACGCGGGCTTCGCCATCGGGTTCGACCGGTTCGTGGCCGTGTTGAGCGGCTCGTCTTCCGTCAGGGACGTGATTGCGTTCCCGAAGAATAATAACGGCGTGGACGAGTTTGCTGGCGGGCCGGGCAAGATGACGAAGGAGCAGTTGCTGACGTATAACCTGCAGTTCCGCAAGAAGGAATGAGCAGGTTGAGGACTCTCACTCTCCTCCATTTTGCGGGCGGTATCGCGTTCACTGTCATGTACTGTACTGTTTTGTAAAATCATCTCACTGTAACAATATTAACGGCCGTGGGCGCCTGGTGTGGATAGACGCGATAGAACACCACTTATAAGGATTTGGACAGTTGAAGCAGGGGATATTATTGTATTCCATATTCATCACGGTGACTCCATGGCGTGAACGCTCCTAATAACACAATCAAAAGAACCTCCCAAGTCATCATCATCCTAATTCAGTCTTCCTTTCCTTTCCATGATCACATCCCATCCAGATGCTATATCGTTCTTCAGGATCTCTTCCACTGCCCAGCATCCTCGGCGCCCTTGCCAACAGAGTTCAGCGCGCCCGACAATCCCTGTCCGAGGTTGGCAATCCCATCACCTACAGGGCGGCCAGCGGACCCGGTCGCGCTGGTGATGGTGTCGCCGACGCCCTGGGTCGCGGCGCCGGTGACGTTGCCGACGGTGCGGGTCACGCCGCCGACGGTGTTGCCTAGGGCCGAGGTGACGAACTTGGCGCCGCCCGTGACGCCTGCGTTCTGGTCGCTGTTTCCGACGGGCATTTTGGGGAAGATTGGTTTGTGTTGTTGGGAGGCGGGTGCGAGTTTGTTTAAGAGGGAGACGTCTTTTATTTTGGTTTGGTTGTGTTGTTTGTTGAAGGTTGGCATGCGGTTGGTTCGTCTGCCTTTGATTGTAAGAAGAAGTATCAGATACGATGGGGAACGAGGTTGAGGTGGTTGAGGCCCCTTCTTATGAATGATTTGATGGATTGCTTTGTGGTTAAGGAAGGTGATGTGAGCTCCCGTCTGGGCTGTTCCAGTGTGACGTCAGAGGTGCAGGTGCGGGATGGAAAGCTCAGGGACCACCCCCCTGTCCTAGGTACCGGTATCTGATCAGGCAGGCGGGGGTGTGAATCGCACCTATCAGAGCTTCCACCTTTCCACATTTTCGTCGTCAGATTTGACATCACACATCGCCGGCACCACGTCGTCTCAGACAGGGATGTGCGGCCGTCCGGGGCTGACGACATTGTTCTAGCTTGTTGGAGAACACATACCGAAGTTGAAGATCGGCTTTCTTGGAGCTATGATTCCTGGTGACGGAGGCATCGGTTTATGGGATTCGTGTGATTGGGGAGGGTAGTTTTGAGTTCGGGATCAGCTATGCAGGGCTTTTGGCGATGTGTTCTCCTGTGGCAGTGCTCTGGGATTCAAGGAGGGTGGCATGAGTAGATGGGATATGGTCTGGTCCTGACAGATGTAGCAGCCTCCCTCCATGCGCATGTGAATTTGTTCTCTGCCGGGCTTTCTATCTGATGTCATCCCCATCGCCCAGTGATATTCCGAGAGAGCCATGCATCGATACGTGATTTGCATGAGTGGTGGATGCGGAACAACATGGAGCTTTGGTCGCAATGTTGACCTCTTTCTTTACTTTGGCTTCATCAGAGACGACTTGCCTAGCACGCCTGGGCATCGGAGCGAAGGCTAGAAGGCCCTAGGCACGGATCAGGGACCAGCGGACTCGAGATATCTAGACGTGATGTCGATTCGCTGACAAGCTGCTTCTCTGATAGGTTCCCTAGCTACTTCGCCTTCGGAATGAACATGCCAAAGTGAATGCCGAGCCTGGACGAGTCTTCCAATGCCACGGTGGAGTGAGTCATATCGTCAACTCTTCATATGCCCAAACCCTCCCTAATGGGAAGACGTTTTCTTCAAGATTGCAATCCGCCGCTCGTCTTGGAGAACGTTTCGCACGTGGAAAGTTGATGGCCTTCACCAGGCTAACACGGGAACCCGTGGCGCCACGATCTGCCAGATCGACGCCGTTAAAGACAGGGCCAGCCGTGACACAGACTAGCTTTTGAGACCCGTTGCGTTCTCAGGCGCTAGCTGGACGCTCTGCAGCTGACGATGTCTCAGGCGCAGAGCCGCTAGCTCGCTTGCACACTAACGGCAGAGTAGCGAAGGCATCGAGCCAAATTTGTTCTCCGTCTTTGACACCATTCTTGGGCGCTGAGTGGACAAAGCCGGAAAGTCTTGCTGAAACGCCAAGTTGCGTATCATGCGACTGCTGATGAAACTTATGAGCAGAAACGTCTTGACCAAGTGGCATAGTACACGATTTCACAATGTGAAAGAGCGTCCATCAATGCAAAGAAATGTCTAATCTCCTCCAACATCGTGAAGTGTCTCGCATTGGATGAGGGCATATTGTTGATTGAAGCAATTGCACTATCTAAAGTATTCATCGGGGTCTCTGATAAGCTTTATCAGATGGGCAGAAGGACCGTCTCTTGCTGAATTTGATAATAGTTCAGAGGCGTCCTACCCAGCTTAGAGCGTCTTGTGTAGTATTCCGGGATGTATACTTGTTCCACGATGAAGACTAGTCAAGTCACGCTTCGTCTGGTCATGCCACGCTTCGTCGAGATTGGCAACAGCATATTCCGTACGAAGAGTTCCATCAACTTCTTTGTCGTCGATATTCGTGAAGGCAACGTAAGCTGGCTTCTCGAAGACCAACGATGCCAATGCGAACTGAATCTTATGGTTCACTTTCACAGCATTTGGCAAAGGCTTCCCTGCAATGGTACACGTAGGAGGAAGGAAAGCTCAGCTCGTCATCCTCGCTGGCTAGTTTCACCTGAAATGTTAAGAAAAAGTAGATTTGACGATGGCTTTAAATTATGTTGCCAACCGGAACGGAAACCACTTGAATACAAAGCGTGTGAGCTGGTAGCTTTTAAGGCATGCAGCACGTCTGTATTGTCGCTTCTTGATGTTTATAACGATGACTCCTCTCTCTTGGAAATAAATCCAAAGAGAAGGAGAAGGGTTGCTTATATATGCCACCAGAAGGGCCTTCGAAGTAATCTGCACTCCGATATTGCCCGCTCTTGCTTGTCCTATCTGTCCAAGTGAAATCCGACCTTAAGGCTACTATGACCAACAAAAGTCACTTCGATAGGCCAGAAGATTAGTCTCGACGTGTAATTGAGCATCTTGGAGGTCCCAAAGGCCTGATCGGGCGTTGAAACAGATCTATGGCTTTTCTTCGAGATCTCATCTTCGTACAGGGACGTACTACCAGTCCAAATAATAGCAGAGTTCGCAGCGCCTGTAGGCTATGCTCTCGAATTGTCTCCGAGGAGTTCGCTGATGGTGTCAGCATCATTAAGTCCCGATACATGAGTCAAGAAGAGATGATGCCGAGCATGGATATGAAGGATCGAGAAGGCGACGGCGATGCTGAACTGACTTGAAAGATGGCGGACGAGCACACAAGCTGCGAAGAAGCGTGATACTATAGTCTCTTCGAAAACACCGCCGCATGAGAATCATTCTGGATGATGAAAGCTCAATACTGAGTATTTATACGTAGAAATCGCGTGGTGAGAGTGGATGGATAGACCACCCCCCAACATTTGAAGGGGCGGGCCAATGATACAGGGGTTGAGTCGTCGAAACTGAAGAGACCTTGGATACAGGGTAGCAAGCAGATCCAGATAGTGAAGTGTCAGTTGGGTTGAGTCCGATATCATCATCTCTGTCTTAGAGCTGAAAACTCATGATAGCGTGAGAGAGATGTTCGTTGTTTCTTGTGAAGGGGTGTGCATACGAAGCGTTTCTTGAGACACTAGAGAGAGTCAGATGAACCAAGTTCCACTCGGATGAAAGAAAACCATGCAGGAACCATAAAGTATGCTAATCTGGACGCTGTTTCTCCGACACACTTTCGCAGTTCCCACCTCAACTGTAGCCATTATCGTAGAGGACCAGAGCTCAGAGCTAGGAGTTTTCCAACGTTTTCGTGCCAGCGGTTAAAGAGAGACAACTTTCCATCTTGAAGTGATGTCTTTGTTGAGATCCCATCAAGTGTACTGCTGAGTAAAGCAGAGTTGGCTTGAATGATGGCCGGTGACTTAACATAGGCCAACCGCTGGCAGTACCAATTCAACCTCCTTCTCAACGCTGTTCTCATCTGGCGTGTTAGCTATACCAACAAGGTCGTTTCCACTGGTTATTTTGCACCGCCCCTAGTGTCTGAAAGCGAGAAGCAAATACCATCTTTAACTTCAATAGAAAAAGCCTGATTCTGATGAGGGGTTAAAATCGGGTACACGCTAGAGGACCACGTAACGCCTCTCAAAGCTAAGGCATAACCCGTGTGGGATGTAAGCGAACCCAGGTATCAGACACGTCCGTCAAGGTCCGTCGTAGCTGCACGTAAAGCTGGGTACGAGCTTTCGGAGCATTGGTACCGAGCTGGCAAAAGCTTGGGTAGCTACGGGGAATGGACAATCTAATTGCGGCTCGCGCTCATCATGCATTGGGTACCCGCGAGGACCGTAAAGAAAAGAAATGCCGTCATAGGCTGGTGTGCTTAAAGCAATTGAGTTGGTGGTCTGAAACGGAGGCATCGAGATGGTCGAGCTTGGGGCGTAGAGCGGCGGCCCCATTTTCCCATGGTAAAGTCTTGGTCATGCATTGAGGTACTCATTCACATTAGCATAAATCGATTGCAATTCTTCTCCTTCTCTCTACGTGAGAATTTCTTTTCTTTCTTCAAGACTCTTCAAACTCTCTCCCCCAGTCATCATCATGTTTCCCGATAATCTCACCTCCAGCGGCAACATCTCCGGGTTTATGGTGGTGAAAGATGCATCCGCAGCGCTTCTCTCGCCATGGACGACATTCGACAAGGTCTACAAGTCGGTCATGGGCTACCCTGCCAGCGATTTCGAATTCGTTTACGGACAGACACCGCTCTCGACTTTCACTGAAGCCATGACTCTGGTGGTGCTGTATCTCGTTGTCGTTTTTGGCGGCCGGGAGGTGATGCGCAACCGCAAACCGCTGGAGCTGGACACGCTCTTCAAAATCCACAACTTTTTCCTGTCTCTCCTCAGCGGAGCTCTACTGGTTCTTTTCGTCGAACAAATCGCACCCAGCCTGTGGCAGAAGGGCATCTACGAATGCATCTGCGGACCCACAGGCTGGACACAGCAATTGGTCGTTCTCTACTACGTGAGTAGTATTTCAAACCACCTCTAACTAAGAACATGAGCTAACTCTTCCTGGAAGATCAACTACCTCACAAAGTACTACGAGCTCATTGATACCGTCTTCTTAATGCTCAAGAAGAAACCCCTTACCTTCCTCCACTGCTACCACCACCCGGCCACCGCGCTCCTCTGCTTCAGCCAGTTGATCGGAGGCACCCCGCTATCCTGGGTGCCCATCACGCTCAACCTGACAGTGCACGTTGTCATGTATTGGTATTACTTCCAGACCGCGCGGGGCGTCAAGGTGTGGTGGAAGCAGTGGATCACAGTCTTGCAGATTACCCAGTTCGTGCTGGACCTTGGTGAGTCAAACCGGTTTTCCCCAGCTCATTCGACATGCCATTGACGCAAATAATGATCATACCGATGCTAATCTGCGCCGACAGGTTTCGTCTATTTTGGCTTCTACGACGTCTTCGCAGACACGTACTTCAAGGAGATCCTTCCCCACGTCGGCCGGTGCGGCGGCGAGTTCTACTCAGCCGTGACCGG